TTCTGTCATTGTTCTTTTTCCATTGTAATGATAGGAATTTTTTTCTACCACAATACTGCATATTACTTTATTAATCATCTTTCTTCCCTTCCTTAGAACATCTATTTTTTTTTCTCTAAATGTGCTTCTCAAGCTTTCATTTTGCAAACCACACATCTGGTCATCTTCTTTTCTGTTGTGTCTAAAAGCAGCATAGGAATATGGTACTTATGCCCTTGTTCCATATCTTTTCCATCTTTGCTTTTTAATTTCTCCTTGCCTTAGTTCAACTAGCAGAACATGGCTCAAATCAGTTCTTCACTATCCAACAGTTAAGTATGGCTATACTTTATTGATAGGGAGGAACCAGGGGTACTGGGTGCTGGGGTGTTTTTTGCTGGAGCTTCCACAACAACTGTGATTCTCCAGCCCAGTCTGTCTGTCCAGGTAATTTATTAGGTGTTCACCATTTTTAACATGAGCTGTCTTCTCTGGGAATTAACAGGGAAATGACAACAGCCTTTCTGCTCAGAATGTCAGCATAAGTGCATGAGAACCATTACAATGTGTCTGGCAGCATGGATGTAAATAACAGAGAAGGATAATTATTCTAAAAGATCTAGATCTAATGGCTAAGATTTGATTGAAGTTTGAAAAGCTTTTGGTTCAGGAGATACATTCAATCTTTCTTAAAAGCACACGTAGTAACCTTGGTTCTGTGGTACTTTATGTGCAAGTCCCTCTTCTCCTTCACCATTTAGAGTGGCTTTGCATAGTTAAGACATTAAAAAGGTTTCTGTGTGATGGGATGGGTGATACCTTAGGTAACTAGGATGATGATTCAAATGTAGCCCTACCAAAGCATAGTTTGTCAGGGGAATGGGTTCACAGCACTTTCTTTTACTGCTGAATGTTGAAAATTCTGGAATGCAAGTGCTTTTTCTGCTTCCCGAAAGAGCTGAAGTCCCACAGCAAAGCAGAAGTGCACCTATTTTGGAGCTCAGTTCATTGTCTGACACTTGGCTTGATCACACACAGATAGGCAACCGAGGCACTGCTATTTGACCATCCAGTTGCATGGAAGAGTTCATGAGGTACCCATGGTTACCTTGGCAATAAAGTGATGAGATAGTCTCAGTAGAATGGGAATTTTTAGAGGTGGTGAGATTTTCAAAGCTCTTTCTTTTTTTATGACTGTTAACTCATTTGTTACTTAGATTAACATTTAAACAGACAATTAAGGAATGCTTTTAATAGGCTGAGAAAAGTTAAAGGATGTCAGTGTATTCTTTAATCCTGCTTTTTGAAACAATCCCTAGCATTTTGTACTCATTATGCTTTTTAAGGGTGAATAATTTAGATTCTTCCTGTTAGAAGCCCCACTCTGTGTTCCTTCCTCTGAATATACCTTTCTAAATAAGAAAATAAACTAATCTTATATGAAATTCTATAACCTGTACCTCTGTCTGAATAAAATTATTACCTACATATATATATAAACTCTCAAGTCTACTACCAAATCCAACTATGCTGGGCATAATTGTCATTTAATTTTTTAGAAGCAAATTGATCACATTTACACAGAAAAAAAAACCCCACCCACTTTAAATTACACAGGACAATGCTGAAAAGCCATCATTAGACATCTTAAAGTCTTGCCTTCACATTTGCCACACATTTGGCAAGGTTTGAGTCATGAAATCCCAACCCTTAGATGTTCAGAGCAAAAGGAGCCCTGTGGTATCCTTCTTCAGTACATACCTGCACATTTAAGGCTGTAATGACACTCACATGCAAGAGATTTGCAAAGCAGGTAAAGCTCTTAATGCATCTCAGGTAGTTAGGTGATGATGAAGTGACTTATCTTTGCAACCATATGAGAACATGTATTCCTACCAGAAAGTTTAGCAGCTGCAGGGGTGACTGGACTAACATCTCCTGGCATCCAGCAGTGTATAGACTAAACTATAACTTTTACTAAGATAATATGGAAACCGACAACAAATTATTACTTGTGGTCTTTTTCCAGTTTTCAAGTGCAAACATACCAAAGTTTATTTTAAATCTGAGCCAGTCAGACATTTAGTAATATAGATCAAAGCAGAAATGAAGGCCTCCCATGCTTATTATTTCAATATGATGTCTGTTCTAATAAAGTGTAAGAATGCCTGTGATAGACTAACTAGTAGGAATTTTCTGGTTCTGTAGTTTAGCCTTAAATATATACATGTATTTGTAAATTAACTAGAAACATATTGTCGTGGTTTCAGTTCCTCGGAAAGCTGATTGTTTTCAATCCTTTCTTTAATCTTAGAAATATGGTGGCAGTCTGCCAGCACACTTTCAGATAAACAGTCCACTTCACATTTAAAAGCCGTAGAATCACTGATGTTGAAGGGGGGAAAAAATCAACAGAAAACAACACCAGTTTTCTCCCTCTCTCTCTCTCTCTCTGTCTCTCTCTCTTCCCCAAAATGTAGAACATTATTTAAATAAGTTAGAGTTGTTGTGCTATTGTCCC